GGAACCTCTTCTCTTCAGATCTGCTTTGATTTGGATTCTTTTATATAGCAGGGGGTTGGATTCGATGGCCTTATAGGCTCCTTCCAGTTCAATCATTCTTTGATTCTATGACTTATTCATCATTGCTCAAGTGAAGAAAATGATGACAGATGCTCCAGGGCTAGCAACTCCTCTTTAAGTGTATTGAACAAACTGCATCAATAAAGCCTGAATAAGACTAATGTCTTAAGAGAATCTTTCTGAAAAGCATCTCATGAAAGTCTCATGACAAAGATGGATATATACAGTAATGCTAATGAATCCAAACTTGCGAATTTTTCACCTAAAAAAAAATCAGTGATAATTAAATAGTTGCCTGATAAATTTCTGCCACATGTAATCTTCTTTGATGGACTTCTTGTACATATGCCTGTAACATACAGTAGATCCCTGATCCTCCAGAATAACAAGAGAGTCCATTTATAAGATTCCCATTCCTTGTACTAAAAAATGTTATAGTCTAGAATCAGTTGCAAATGTAAATTTAAAAATAACAGCAGCCACAGCAAAATGCATTTTGGGACAAATACTTGGCTGTAATGCTTAAGCTACAACATTTCATGAGTTCATTAAAAGACAAACCTTAAACAGTGGCTTGAACAGAAGTAGCCAAAATTATCCCTGGTAAATAAAATGCAGTCATTGAAGTCAACCTTGCCTGTCAAACAAAATTCCCTTTTGCCCTTATTAGTAGCTAAGATATATTGTGGTGTTAAGCTCTTTACACTGTGCTAGCCCTCATCCAGACAGATTTTATTTTTTTGAAAAAAAGACTTGCATTGAATGACTTCTGAGGTACTTTCTCACTCTGAGCAAACATTAATTGTATAGAGAGTTAGTAGAAGGGTCAGGATTTGGGTTTGGGCTAGGGATGAAGTTAGGCTTAGTGGGTCTTATATTTCTGGAACACGGTTTCCTGAAAGCAGACAACCAAAGGAGAACCTTTGCTGCGTCTACTACTCAGCATCATGGCTTATTGAAACAAACAAAACAAAACAATTTTGAAGCTTTCTGTGATTCCTACCAACACCACCTCCATTCCTCTTGCAACAGTGCTGAAAAGTACTGGGGGAAAAACAAGCTTTCAAGAGAAAAGAGGGCAACATCAGGTATGAGAGGGTCACCTGATATCAGTCTAGAATAGAAACGTTTACATTTCCAAAGGACCTGGCTGACTGATGAGACGTGAACAACCAATCCAGTGCTTCAAATTCTTAAACAAAGCAACAGTCATTCTAGTTTGGGACAATTTTTTGCAATTGTACAAAGTTTACAGGTTGGTGCAAATGTCTAATATTGTGCAAAACATCACTGTTGATAATGCAAGGATTCTAATGCAAGAACACCAGGAAATTCCTCACCATTTTCCCACTTGGGGAGAAAATGCAGGTGGGACAAGCAAAGATTTATATGTCTAATCTACATTTTTTAAAAAATATAAATGTTTGCTTGTGGAAGTAGGAAATGTCTCAGCTCTTGGTATTCTGCTGAGGAGGAATAACTTTTAAGATTAGATCCTAAACTATAACAATTAAAAATACCTATGCATGTATATATGCTAAAACCATATAAAGTCCTGCATGAAGAAGCCAAAGAGATTAAGGAGAAAGATCCACAATGTGTGTGCTACCATGAGAAAGCCCTTGTCTTTCAAACTGCCTATCTTAGAAGATATTTTTGATTATTGGGGAAGAGACCTGAAGAAGAGTATGATCCTTTTAATTCCCTGATTCTGCATCACTCTATCTTTGAAGAAAAATAACTAGATGGAGTTCTAAGTGGAGCCATTTGGGCAAGAAATGGTGAGCTCCAAACTGAAAGCAAAAATGCCATCTGGATTTGGATGTTTATCGTAAAAGCAAAGATATTTGAGACCCTGTCAATAATTGAGCCCAAGGGACAGTAAAGCTGAAAACTCAGCAGAAATAAAGGGTTGTGGTTTGCATCTGATTACAAATACCAGACAGCAAACAATTCATTCAAATATTGGATGGCTTCTGCTGTGTGTAACATCAATGGTTTCTGCTGTGTGTAACATCAACAGGCAATGGGTTTCCCATTCTTCCATTGACTTTAATTACTTATAGCATCTTTTTACTGGATTTATGAGGGAATAATTGGACTTTGAAGCATATGGCTTCTACCTGTTGTAGTCCCGATGAAAGACACCAAGCTAGTGACAATTAGTACATGCCACTCCTGCTTCTTAGCACCATAGCTTGCTGAAAAACAATTTTAGAGATTTCTATCATTCAATGTATTCTCAAAGGCTTTCATGGCCAGGATCCAAAGGTTGTTGCAGGTTTTCCGGGCTGTTTGGCTATGTTCTGGAGGTTTTTCTTCCTAACATTTTGCCAGTCTCTGTGGCTAGCATCTTCAGAGGACAGGAGTCAGAACTCTGTGTTCTGGTGTAGTGTGTGGGATAGTTGACTATTTGTAACTGTGGGATCAGCTTTTTGTCTTTTTCAGGAGATTTGGTGATTCATGTGGGTTTGTAATCACAGGGCATCTTTTTGTCTTTTTCAGGAGATTTGGTGATACATGCAGGTTTGCAATCACAGGACATGATTTAAATGGGTTGTTGTGCTCCGTTGTTTTAAATGTGTTTGAATACTGATCTTAGTTACCATTTTAATACAATACTTTTAAAATTCTTTTTTTATTTGTGTATACTTACTCTTTTAAACTTTTAAATACTGTTTTAATGATGTAAACCACCTTGGGTCCTTTTGGAGAGAAAGGTGGGATATAAATGAATGAATGAATGAACGAACGAACGAACGGATGAATTATAGTGCTTGCTCTCCATTCCATGAGCAGAAGCCAATTGCACTCATAGTTGAATCTTACCTCAGCAATGGTCACCAGAAAACACCTTCTGCTCCCCTGAAGCAAGAAGGCTTGTTTAGAAAGCTCTCTATGGAATAGCTGGTTTGGTCCTCAAGCAATGTGCTAGAGAGTTTGTAGATCATTATCAAGGGGCTGTCACTGATATTCTAAAGCTACCTGAGGCAGTTGCCTTCCTCTGCTGCTAAAATTGAAACTGGGCTTTTTGGTTAGGGCTTGAGGAATAATTCCAGTAGTTACAAGCTATATCTTAAGCATCACAAAAAAGAGAAGGTTAACAATTTGAAGACAGAAAAGCCTATGATTCTCTCCCACAAGAAGAACTGTGTTCCTTCATATATTCTTGGCCTAAAATGCCCATGATCCCTAGCCAGCATTGACAATGATGAGAGATTACAGGAGCTTCAATCCAAAATCTTTCAGAAGGTATAGTGGTGCCTCAGCTATATCTTAAGCATCACAAAAAAGAGAAGGTTAACAATTTGAAGACAGAAAAGCCTATGATTCTCTCCCACAAGAAGAACTGTGTTCCTTCATATATTCTTGGCCTAAAATGCCCATGATCCCTAGCCAGCATTGACAATGATGAGAGATTACAGGAGCTTCAATCCAAAATCTTTCAGAAGGTATAGTGGTGCCTCATAAGACGGGTAAAATGCCCATGATCCCTAGCCAGCATTGCCAATGGTGAGAGATTACAGGAGCTGCAATCCAAAATCTTTCAGAAGGTACAGTGGTGCCTCGTAAGACGGGCGCTCCGTTTAACGACGAATCCGCATTATGATGAGGTTTTTGCGATTGCAAAAGCCATCACAAAATGACGTTTTGAATGGGGGAATTTTGCTGCGTGATGATTGGTTCCCTGTTTCAGGAACCAATTTTTGCTTCCCAATGATCTAAACAGCTGATCGTCAGGTTTTCAAAATGGCCACCGGCTGCTCAAAATGGCTCCCCGCTGTGTTTTTGCTGCATAGGCACCAGAAAATGGCCGCCCCTATGGTGGGTCTTCGCTGGACGGTGAGTTCTTAGCCGATTGGAATGCATTAACCAGGTTTTAATGCATTTCAGTTGGCTTTTTAATTTTAGCTTTACGACGTTTTCGTTCTACAGCGATTTCGCTGGAACGAATTAACATCGTAATGCGAGGCACCACTGTAACTGCTGCCCACTTTTATTTAGACAATTCTGAGGCAAGATTTCATTAGAAATAATGCTAGTGCTGCTAATTTATTTAATTTATACAACCTTGAAAACAATTTATGTTCATGTTAGTCATTAGATCCTAGCAGGAAGTCAACTCTGTTAGTACAAACCCACATCCTTAACTATTTTTCTCAATGATCTGTACATCTAGAGTTCAGAGGGTTCAATGTTCCCTCAGGTAAGGTGCTGATTCTGCCACTCACTTCTTTGTAAGTTATGCTTCTGATGGTATTTTGACTTGTATCATGGTCCATCCACCAGCCTGATAGGTGGTTTACTGCTAAAGTGTGGAGGACCAGCCAATTAAATATATCGGCTGAAATCCAGTGGAAAATCTGAACTGGAATAGGCCCATAGAATCAATGGAACCTATGAAGGAAACGATTCATCAAATCCCCACTGGGCCTACTCTAATTGTAGCTTTCTACTTGATTTTTTTCAACGTCTCCTCCCTTAGTTATCTGACAAAGCAGAAATTGGTAAGGTGTGTTTATTTGATTACAGATAATCCAGGAAGTCTAGGTTGTTCTGTACATTTTAGGATGGGAGAGCCAGCACAGTGTAACAGCTAGAATGTCATATTTTGATTAATGAGTACGGAGTGTCCACGCAGAGTTCCTTCTCAGATAATCTTGGGTTAATCCAAATTAGAACAGATCTGAAGTCTTGTGATAATACGAGAAGTGGAGATGTGTCATCTATGGGGCCATGAAAACCTTAGTGGAAAGACTATTGTTAGAAAAATGCAGCAATTTAATATAACAATAATTTGAAGAAAACAATCTTCAGAGCAGATTGGTGTTCGCAAAATGCAGGAAAACACAATGTTGAGCGATTCCTAAGAATTCCAGTACTATATATAATGAAAATATAGCGGCAAGAGGAGACCTCACCATTAATTCTTATCTTACCTTCACATCTTTTACATTCATTCTTGTCCCTTCCTTCCCAACAAAGATATCATCGATGTCAACAAGGATGTATCTATCCAAGGACAAGGCAAGCTGTTTCCCTGTCAGGAATGAGATGGCATCTATAAAAATGAGTTTGTGCAGCCAAAAGTTCAAGTTGTTCCCAAAAAGGACTCTTTGAATCCCATCGTGAAGTCCCAAGTCCTGAACCACTGTAGCATAGAGAGAAACCTTTGGCAGTGAAGCCGGGAATGGTTTGGAAGTCTGAAATTCTGTTAAAAGCACTGGTTGGTATGTGGAGTGATTATATTGGAAAATGGTCCAGTCTTCACCAGGCAGTGGACCTTTCTCAACCCTTGGGGCTTTGGTTATGTGCAGAAGAGGAGACTGGGGATTTACTAAGCAGTCTTGCAGCGCAACATTATTATAAAGGTGTAATGGGAATCCTTTGAGTGTAGTGCTTGACAAACTGTTCTCATTGGCTTTATGAAAACCAATTATGCTAACACTGTATTCCACACAGTATTTTTCCAGGAGTTCTCTGTTCCATGAATCCATGGATGTGTACTTCAGAATATTTTCATATATTACAAGAATGTATTTTCCTTTGCCATTATCTGCCAGGGGAGGAATGTCTCCTTTCCCAGATGCAATCACCATCTGATATGGAAATCGACTAGATTCCAGAATGGCTATAATGTCTTGACCAAGCTGAGAGTACTGGCTTTCAACAAAAAGCAGGACAGTTGGGTCAGTCCTTGATGGATCAATGGGCTTCACTGTCTTGAGCTCTATTGACCTGTATGGCAAGAGCTTAAGATGTTCACACTCAACCCCTCCTGTGGTCTCAATGAGAACCATTTCTTGCTTGTGACCTGCATACAAGTAATAAGCAGAAATGACTATACTCACTAAACAGAAAGTGGCTAAGAGTATTACAAGTGTTCGGAAACTTCTACGAAGTTTCACAATAAGATTCATTTTTCTGCAGCACAGTCAATTTCTTTCTTTCTTTCTTTCTTTCTTTCTTTCTTTCTTTCTTTCTTTCTTTCTTTCTTTCTTTCTTTCTTTCTTTCTTTCTTTTAAACAAGTGGCTTCTTCCTTCTAAAGTGCCATTATAGACAGACCAAAAGATCTGGTATCAGTACCACTCTTCAAACATTCATGTGACCATTGCAATTCATTTATTAGGGGGGTCGACGAGGTTAGGAAACTTTGAGAACTGGAAGTCCAGAGAGTTGGAAATCTATATTGGAAGCAATCTTCCCTGAATGCTCCAGTTGCCAATAATCAATGGAAGAGACACTTAACATTATCTGTAACAAAGTGAGAAATTAGAGTAGGTTAAGAAAATCCATAACACAATTAAAATGTGTTAATTAAATAAGCAAGTGCTTTTATTAAAAAAAAAACCTGAGCATGAAAAGTTTTATAGATTCCACTGTGAAGGATGGGAGTAGGATGCACTTACAAGCATAAAACTATGAGTGGAAAAAATACTTATCATTTAAGATTGTTCTGCAAAATTCTTGTGGATATAATTTAATGTCTACCTACATGATGGCACATAAAAGGAGAGTGAAAGTTAAATGTTAATGTTATTGTAAAGGTTCTTTGAAAGGACAACAGAATGAAAAGCAAAAAAATACCTTGTGTTAATACCAATGTTAACAAACATTAAATGTTAACAAACATTTTATTTTGTAGATTTCTGTTATTTCTCTCCCCCCCCCCCCATGACTTCTTTTGTAAGAGTGGCCAGATTGCCTTCTGTAACTTACACTGGTGTAAGGGAAATGATAGACTTCTTTTGTAAGAGTGGCCAGATTGCTTTCTGTAACTTACACTGGTGTAGGGGAAATGACGTCACCAGGATGGCAGATCACTGCTAATTATTGTACTCATGTGATTATTCATTATGCATGAGTCAGGTACCTTTGCATGCAACCTGAAATACAAGTAGAGGATCTTTTAGAAAGCTACCAATTAAAGAGACTGTCTTTGGCTTACAAGTCACACATTTCCTTACACCAGCATAAGATATATCCAATGATATTAGTCAATGCTGGAAAACATTTCAAGGGACAGTAAGGCAACATTAAACATTAGACGGCTATATCTGTGTAGAATAAAACTGTTTATATCAGTGTAGAGTAAAAATGTTTATGTTTCTAGGAACCGTTATAATATTTTAAAGATTCCAAATGACCAGAAGCATTGAGATTGTTTTCAGCTCAGTTTTGTTGGCCATTAGCTTGCTTGCTTGCTTGCTTGCTTATTTATTTAGTTATTTATTTGGCTTCTATACTGCCCATCTGGCTACTAGGACACTCTGGGCAGTTTACATATTAAACAAATAAACATACACAATTCCAAACAATGAACTTGATGTTCTACACACACACACACCTCTAGATGCACTACTGATCACTTAATATGGATGAGTTGCCTTCTTTCTTTCTTTCTTTCTTTTTCTTTCTTTCTTTCTTTCTTTCTGAGCAGTTTACATATTAAACAAATAAATCATGCACAACTCCAAACAATGAACATAATAATATAAAATCAAATTAAAGATAAAACAACCAACAATTTAAATAATAATAGTTAAAATAAGATAAAATAAGATAGAGCAAGACAGCAGGACTGATAGTATAAATGTTGAGACTATAACTGCAATTAAGTGCTGTAATTAAGGTGTTGTAAAGTCAGGAAGGCCTGTCGGAAAAGCCACGTTTTTAACAATTGCTTAAAAAACTTGTGTTCCTCTAAGTTAAGTGGATGGAATAACACTTGTGGAAGGGAGGGAGAATATTTGTTCCTTTCGTAGATTGTGATCCTTTTAATCATTCCCATTTACAGACCAGGGTGTGCAAATTAGAAAAGTAACACAGCAATCTTATCTAAAGAGTCAGAGTTCTCTGCCACTGGAACCTCTGACACAACTGAAGGCTCTACTAGGCTCTTGTCAATTAAGCAGAAGTGAGGGATGATATGTCTTCACCTCCCTCCCAACTGCAGAAGGAAGAGATTATTAGCAGCACCATTGAGATATATTAGGAAGTCACCCTCACCATCTGTTGACCTTTCCTCTTCTCCCAAAGCTGACACTAGAATTCCAAAACCAAAAAACTTTAGGACTTGGAATGTTTCAATGGGGACTGAGAGATGGTTTCCAAGATCAATTCTCTTCTCCAAAGCTGAAACTGTTTTTTTCAGCCATGGAGAGTGGGGGCTCTGATCTATCCAGCAATAGCCAGGGGGTGACCTTCAGGGAGATTATGAACAGCAAACCATATATCCATCGGACCTATTCTTATAAAATGAGTATAAATTTGTAAAATCAGATACAAGTAGAACATGTCATGTGAGTAAACCAACATCAGTGGTACGTTTTCGATTTAATGTCAATGGAATATATTCTTAGACAGGGCTTTTGTGGGTTGTCACTTAGGTCAGATGCTTCCACAATAAATCATCTGTACTGCTACTTAAATCATCTCTCTCTCTCTCTTCCCAGTATTAATTATGCCAACTTTCAGTGTTCTACTATTACGAGTGTCTGGATCATGTCCATTATAACTTTACAGCATTTACAAATGAACAACCTATGTAACTTCAGGGTTATTATCACTTATAAGGCAAAGACTATGTTTTAGTCAGTAAAGAGCCTTTAAGCCTTTAATAATTTTAATCATTTGTATAATATAATTTTCAAGATGCTTTAAACTTCGAGCTTGTTCATCATTGCAGTGATAATAAGTTGTTCCCATTTTATAGAATCCAGTTTTATTTTATTTTATTTGGAGATAACTGTAGAAATACAAGGGCAATAAATGGTGAGAATTTAGCTTTAGTAATTTATTAAATACCAATACCTTGTTAATGAGCGACAATAAATAGACATAACCAATCTACTGCTATTATCACCAAAATTACTACTGCTAGTAGCAGTTTAATTGCACAGTTAAAAATCCCAATTATTCCAACATGTTTATAGATTCCTTATTGAACTTATCCAAAGATAAAACCAGATTGTGTGAAATTATCTGCAAGGCGGCATCTCAGTTTAGAAGCTTTGTTGACACTGATAAATATCAGCAACTTAACTCCTGGAGTTTATCATATTACATGCTCATCACTGGGCTTACAATCTCATTAGAGATATGCACTGTCCCTAAACAAATCAATAAGCAACCATTCCAGGAAAAGAAACCTTTTTCTCTTTTTTTGCCACTGTAGTTGGTTGTTGGGGAGACCCCCCCCTTTTTTTTTGGCATGGAATCCCATTTGATTTTCAGATCAGGTATATGTTTTTTTCAACACTAGAGGGCAATGTATTTCTGGTATTCCCAAACAAATTTCATCCACCAGGCCAAAGGAAGGACATGTAATCAACCCCAGAAGTCACAATTTAAAGTCACTTTCTCTAGACATCAGTGTTAAAACAATATAATTTAAGTGATTATAAATAAGATACTGTCTCAATACTTACAATATTTATAAGTCTGAGCTTGTAGAAGCGGGGAAGACCATAAATATAGATGGCTGTCCTTTTCCCTCTTTGGGTCTTAGTCACAACTTGGTATTTCCTCCTGAGTGACTTGGACACCAAAAGTGTAATCTTGAGAAAAGAAAAGGGGAAAGAAAGGTCTGTTTTTAGCATACATAACAAAATACTTGTAAGAGAAAATGCCTTGAGTGGTGCAGATTTTTTATTCCTTCATCTTAAGGTTCAGGAAATATGAGAAAATGACTCATTTCCAGGTTTTGAGCACTGTTTTGAAACAGTGTAGGACAGGAATGAGCCAAAATGCAACACATCGAAGTCCCATTGATATTAATGGAATGCTGAGGTTGCGCTAGAAATCTCACCTATTAAAATATACAGCATTTGAAAGGTTTCAGTTCTGACTGGATTGCATCTAGAATGCATAACCAAGAACTAGTGTAGAAGAAACAGCAAGATGATACTTTTAAAAAATTGTCCAATATTCTATTAAGCTTCTACTGCATAGAAATTAATGGAAGCTGCTCGTGCGAGTATTGCCATTGAAAAAGTGGGGATTATTTCTTGCACAGTAGCAATGCTTGCACAACTAGCACAATCTCATGTTACTACAGCAGTGGGACTTTACCAGAAATTCAAAACTCTGCAACACTGTTGTTGCTCATAATTCCATTCCTGTTGTGCACATGGAATAGTGCAACTGGATTTCAGCCATTATCAAGTAGATTTCAAGAGTCTGGAATTAGGACTTTCAGTAACTGGGCTGGGATAGAGTAATATATATATTGGGTTGGTGGTAATGATGATGGAACTGTTCATTTCGTATTCTACAAGCTTTCACTTAACCAGGCACAAGTTTTTTTTCATTTGTGGGTCAGTTTGAATTTATTAAGCCATCACAAAGTCCATGTGCATTTTTGCTTCTATTTCCACAAGCAGGAAAATTCATATTGATATGCAATTTCTCCTAATATGAACATTTCCATGAAACGATTTTGATAAGAGTGTAATTGTAAAATAAGAGAGTATTATGAAATCAAAGGATAATTGCTACTTGGTCCACATATTATTTTGCAGAGTGTGAGTGGCAAAGACCAGACTCACATCTTTACAGAAGTTACAATATCTAGTAGAGTTGCCACCAAGAAGCAATCCCAGTAAAATTCCACGCACTCTAAGCCCTTCTGAAATGCTCCTGCTGACCTTCTATAGCCGATCAAATTAGGTTTTTCCCCAGTGTCTCTTTCCCAGGGCAAGTTAGTACTTTGAAATAAAGATCCTTGAGGGTCTGGGCTTAACTCTTCCCAGTCCAAATGGGTCTGTATCTTTCTTTTTTGTAAATCCTTAACCAAGCTCTCCCACTTATGCTCTAGCACCTTGAGATGGACTAAGCCTGATACTCTGAGGCCAAGCTGCAATAAAATTACCTTTCTGGTGTTATTTAGGGCTTTACTCTGGATTTCTTCATAATTTCTACACAGGTTCATATTAAAACGGGAATTGAATGTTTGCACAACCAGCACAAT